ATATATTACTCAAACTAGTCTCAGCCAGGGGCTCCAAGCTGCCTTACAATTCTGTTTGGTCTGGCCCTGGTATAGGGAATCTACACTCATTCTTTCTCTTGGCCACTTGTTACCTGGCAATAATGCTCTCTAAAGACTTTCTTAAAAGCTATCATAAATCAAGTCATTTCATCTAAGGTCCATGTTACAAAGCTGCACAGATTGAAAAATTGGTAAATTTGGAGGTAGAGATTATTTTTTAAAAGATAGTGTCCCTTACCAGGACCTTTGGCTCTTCCAGGAAGCAGGTGTCCCAGCCGAAATATGATTACTCTCTCATACTCCTGTACAACCTAAAGGGAAATGTAAAACTTTCAGATAACTCCCAGAAGCAAAAATAAAGTCTTTGAAAGACCTGCGAATGAAAGTGATGTTAGGTATCAGAAACTTTTTGTTTTGAGAACTAAGAACAAATTCCTATTCCTATTTAACGTTCTAAAGCCTATAAAATTTATATTTAGTGAATATAGAATTTCAGAAATCAATTGAAGAATATGTAACTGGCCATGTTAATCTTTGAGACTAAGGAGAGAATTTTTATTGAAGGCTCATGATTATCTAAACAATATTTTTTAGTATGTCCCATATTCTTAAGACAAATCTTATCTGACCATGTTTAATCTTGTGTTTCTCAGTGAATTCTCCATTATTAGCTTACATATTACTTACTAGCTATTTAATTGAAAGAGGGAATATATTTTAATGCCACTTGTGATATTTTGTTTCAAACTGCAGTTTCTTCAAAGCCTGCTTCAAAATGATCCAACTGATTTTAATTTGTCTGTTCTTATGGATCTTGAAAAATTGAATGTGACCTAAAAATATGTAGAGATATTTTCGAGTGACAAAAAAGAAATTCTCTGCGTAGAGCAGTCTGTCTCATAGAAGAATAGGAAAGTCACTGCATATTTTTAAAAAAAATAAACTTCCACCCTCCAGGCCAGTATGAGAACCTGAGTTCTATTGCTTCTCATTAACTTAGTTAATCTAATAGCTTATATGTACACCTCATAAAACTATGAGTGTTTTTTTTTGTTTGTTTGTTTGTTTTTTGGGCCGCTAAGCACAGCAGCATGGGCTCATAGTGCAGGTGGAAGATTGTGTTTGCACCAGCAACACAGGCCTGAACGTGGGCAGTACGTTATTGTGGTTGGAGGCAGAACCAGTCACCGCGACGCTCAGCACCTGCCACTGGGGCAATACCTTCTCTACATCTTGTGTACATGCAGGAAAGTTTAAACACCACAATCTATTTAAATACTTAAGAGTGTTACTCATCATGTAACTCACTTGTGTCCCAAATTTTCTGATCAAGGAGATTATGGGGCCAAAGAGGAAAATGATTGATGATGTAGAGTGTGCCTAAGGAGAGTCATATCGAAAGAAAACATTCTCTCAGGCTTTCACAGAGAGCAAATTGGCCAAGCAATGGCTGTGACTCATCCTCATGGCTGACACTAACAAAGGATCTACAAACTGCAATACAAGGTTTCAGGGTAAATCCTGAGGGGATTTGACTGACCTTGTCAGATACAAAAGTTACATTTCTTATTATATAGGTCTTGCTTTATCTTGGTCTTAACCATCCAGCAGAAAAATATAAAAATGAAATATAAAAAGTAAAGCTATATTAATATACTGAGCTGTAAAAGGCTCAAGTCAACAACTTCTGACACTGCCAGACCTATGGAAAACCCACTACTATTATGGACTACTGGACTATATTGGAATATTTTGCTGAATTCACGCACCTACAATATTTAAATGACAATGGAATACCCTTTTTTGACAAAACTAAACATAAAAAGGGGAATACAAATGAAAGACCATTTTGTATCTGTACGTACAAAGTAGTTACAATAGATATACAGCTACTTTCTCTTAATTCAATGAGAAGAAAGATTTGTACTAATAGTGTTTGTGGACAGGATATCATGTCTGCATCTTGTACTATGAATAACCACTAAGAAGATAACAATATACAATGTATTATTGAATCCATCCTACTAATCGGTTTTGAAACTGTCTCACTACTTGTTTCTCAATAAAATTAAAAATAAAATAAATTAAGTTTTAAAAAAGTATTACCAAAGTGTTTACATATGCTGACACTTTGAGGCCTTGTGGGATTCAATATTCTCAACTAATATCTGTGCTATTTGTCATTATTCATTCCTGATGTATTTTCCTCCCCTTGTAGATGTAAGATGCCCCAGAACATTTATCTTGCTCTTTTGCTTTTCTTTCTTTTAATTTTTTGGATGTTGTTTTTTTCCCCATAATTTTATTGTTTTGGGTGTTTTTGAGACAATGTCTGGCTACACAGCTCAGCTGGCCCAGAGCTCGTGGCATCCTCCTGCCTCAGCCTCCCGAGTGGTGGGATGACAGGCGTCCCGCACTAACACCGCAGCCACCTAAGCCGTGGCAGCCCGACACCAGTGCCGCGCTGGTCCGCTTGGCTCTGAAGTGTCCCGAACGCTGCTACTCGGAGGTGACTACCTGGGCAGGCGCAAGGCACGCGTGTGGCGGCTCCACCTGTCCCTTGGCCAAGCCCAGCACAGCGCGGAGACTGCGGGCACCGCACACGCCTCGCGTGGAGCGGGACCGATGGCCCGCCGCCCCGAAAGTCTGTGAACTCGCAGGTCGCTAGGTCCGCAAGTCACCTTTACGCGGCCAGAAGCGCGGAGAAAGTCAGCAGTGGACAGAGGCGAGGCAGGCGAAAGGAGAGCGGAACGCGGTCGCCAGCCAAACATGCTATTGTGTTTTACTGTTTTCAGGGCAGCCACTGTGAGCTCTTTGACGGCATACAATCAATCTTTTTTCCTACTGCCTAAAATAATCTTGATAGGTAGTAAATATTTAGTAAATACTGAATAAACGGAGTGATTTGTGAGTATAGGTAAAGTTAATTTTTCTTCTCCATACTCTCTCCATTTAAAAAATACTCCACTAATATTTTGCTTAATTTACACACCTACAATATTTAAATGACAATGGAATACCCTTCTCTGACAAACTAAACATAAAAAGGGGGATGCAAATAAACGACCATTTTGAATCTGTATATTCAAAATAGTTAGGATAGATAGACAGCTACATTCTCTTCATTCAATGACTAGAAAGATTTGTTCTTTTTTTGGCGGAACTGGGGATTGAACTCAGAAGATTTGTTCTAATAGTGTTTGTGGACAGGATATCATGTCTGCATCTTGTACAACAAATAACCACTAAGACAACAATATGCAATTTATTAATTATTGAAACTGTCCTACTGAAACTGTCTCATTGCTATTTGTTTCTCAATAAAATTATTTTAAAAATAAAAAATAAAAACTACTCCACTGAATAATAGCTAGACAAATATATATATATATATTCCTCAACTTATGATAACAATGAGATAACATTTTCAGCTTACAATGGACTTAAGTTGAAAATATATTTCATACACTTAATCTACTGAACATCCCAGTTTAGCAATGCAGTGCTTTGAATTTTGGTGACTGCATCGTGCTATACTGTAGTTTTATGTTGTTACACATTACAGTACTACATGTAAGAGTTGTGCAAATAAAAGCAAAGTCACCAGGTTGGAGTTTCCTTTGACCATTTTTTTTTGCTACGAATGTTGTAATGTATGCACTATATACAGTTCTTGTGACCGATTCATTTAATGATTTAACTGCGGGAATGGAATTTGGCCATTGGACAAGAAATGCCTTTACTTCAAAAATGTACTAATAAAAAACCAAACATTATACATCTAATGCTGGAATGAAGTGAAATCAGAGTGACCCGGGAGAACAGGGAAGGAATGACAGTATTGAGGAAGACTTCACAGTTACTCTTTAGCTAGATTTTGAAACAGTAAGAGCTCACCTGGAGGGTAAGTGGCCACCAGAGGATTCCACACGGTGTGACAGCGGGTATAGCTCAGTGGTAGAGCATTTGACTGCACATGGTATGACAACTGGGTACCAAACAGTGTCCTGGTGTGGTCAGTGAGGCCTCAGGAAATTATCTATTGGTCCTCATGGAAACTCACCTTTATGCAGAACCAGATGGACAAAGGGAAAGTCACAATGATAAAGAGCAGGGAGGCCAGAACAAGAAGCCACTCACAGGCTCCTAAACCTGAGGACTTGGTACCTGACAAGGAAAAAAAAAATTAGATTGAAATTTCACATATTAACTGACTAGCATTTTTCAGTCTTTGGTATTTGGAGACATTGTTAGCAAAAATTAGAATAAGTCAGACCCCAGAGCAGTGAGACTAGTAAGTGCTCACAGGGCCAGGGATATTGCCCTCGTGAAGGGCCGTGTGGGCCTTTGGGAGGTGGGGCAGGCCACTGCAAAGGCATGGGGACACTAGATCAGAACAACCGCGGGCTCTAGTTCTGTCTTACTTCATGTTCATAGCTGACCTTCACGGGGCACAGGATCTCTTCAAACCTGATGCCTCATTTCTACTATGGGGTTGTTAACCACCTCATAGTAATCAGCTCATGAGATCTCATACTTCAGTGTACAGATGAAGTGATATATACAAATAAAAATGTGGAACTGTACTTTACATGTGCCAGTTTTGACTATCCAAAATGTCCGGAAGCTTATCTTCCACAAAACAACTTCCTCATTCACTAGCTGCCCTACTGTTTGAAATTCCACTATTAGAGTTCCTTCTTTCTGTGATGGTCTGATCTCCAGTCTTTGAAAATCACTTATATAATTATGACATGTTATTATTATATATAAAAAAGTGATAAGGAACTGGGATGCAGAACATTGGGGATGTTTCTGTGATAAATGAAATGGCATCAAGCAAAGTCATCCTCAGGAACACAAGCTCTTGGGGGAATCATCTTTTTGCATTGGTCCCCAGGCTCTAGGATGCAACATGGATGTTCAATTAATGTTGAATTGGAAGGATATTGAAATTTCAAGAGTTTTAATCTCCTGATACTAGAAAACTAACCAAAAGGATACTATTTGTCAGTATATAAAATCTCATACAGAATTAAAAGATAACAAAAATTAGGAATTGGTAAAAAGACTATTTTTAAAGGGTGAGAAAAAATGGATAACTAATTGGTAGGCCTAAAATCTTGATTTCCAAAGCCAGGTAGAGTAGCATGCACCTGTAGTCTCAGGTAACTAAGAAAATGAGGCAGACAGACAAAAATTAAAAAAAAATTGAGACAGGATTTTAATAAACTGCTAACTTGCCCATACTGGCCTCAAACCTGCAATCTTGATACCTCAGCTACTTATGGAGCTGGGACTGTAGTCATGTACCACCACTGTTGACAAAAAATCTGAATTCCTTGTCTGAAGAGGCCATCACCCAATTGATGTGCAGATCACATGACGAGGACAAATATGACATACAAGCTACACCAGCACACCTAAAGAAGCACTAACGGTCATAGTATAGGCATTTCCCAGAGACTATCTCACAGCATACTAATCCCACAGAGTGCTTCACAAGGGAAGAATTTCTCAGGCAAAGGGCTGGGGAGATGGCTCAGTAGAATAAGTTCCTGCCTGGCAAACTCAAGGTCCTGAGTTCAATCCTCAGTACCGAAAAAAAAAAAAAAAAAGATGGTTAATTTTAGGGGCAGGGAGAGGGCTCAGTAGAATAAGCACTTCCCTGGCAAGTGCAAGGGCCTGAGTTCATTCCCTGGTTCTGCCAAAAAAAAAAAAAAAAAAAAAAAAAACCACTTAGAATTTCTCAGGCAAAGGAGTTGAGAAAATAGTGGGCAATGTATCCCAACCCCAGCATTCCAATGCTCATGAGCATAAGAGGCCATATGAATCCCTGTAGTGAAAGCATTCTCAGCTTTGTGCACTTTCGTGCACTATTTTTCAAGACTTTAACCAGAGTTGTTTTCAAGTTGTTTTCTTTCTTTCACTCACATATATTTTATGAAACTTACTTTTCATGGGACCTACTTTGAGAAATGTCATTTTATCAATATCATTGTTACATTTTTTGTTATTATTCAATGACAATGACTAATAGTACTGCCTTTCTGTATTACAAATTAGTAAATTAATGCATATATATGCAATATTACATTTTATAAAGGAAGAAAGGAATTAAGAATTCCTTCATACAGAATTAGGGATACAAATCAAAACTGATTTCTGTACTCAAACAGAAGTATTGTGATAATTCAAGCCCCAGTGAAGTCTTTCTATGATCACAGGCTGGCATGTAGTTAGTTGCCTGGACTTTAAAATCTTCTCTACTTGACTCTGCTCTGGAAAAAAAAAAAAGATTTAAAATGCTTCTAGGTAAGAAGGGTGGGTGGGGATGAAAAAGAGAAGCCACAGAACTACCAGGAGACACCAAATCATGGATGTGTTTACTTCCACCAGGTGTCTGTCCATAGCCCAACAGTAGCCACAGAACCAATCCTAATCCGTCCTTGGTTTGCCGGGAGTACGAGCCTCCAGCGGTGTGTTCTGGTTTTACCTCAGCCAGACAGTGCATTCCACTTCATCTCACCACTTGGGAAGGCAGCTTCAGGGTGCCCGCCCCGCCCCGCTTACCTTCCTCCGGTTGCTCGCTCTCCAGCAGCGCCACCACCTCGGTGCCGTCCTCCCCAGAGCCTCGCACCTCGTCCACATCCACCACGGTGGCGGCGGCGGCAGCTCGTGGCTCCGCGGGATTCGCTGCGGGCCGGGGCCCTGGCCGCTCCGGCCCAGCCTGCCGGCGCCCCCGGCCTCCGCGGCTCCTCTCGGCCTTTGCCCTCCGGCTCTCGCCGGGGGAGGCCCGGCCGCTGGGCCCCCGGTGGCGCTCCCCGGAGGGGCTCCGCGTCTTCCTCTCCATCCTCCAGCAGAGCCTTTGGCGCACAGATGTGTGTGTGCCGGGGGAGCCCCGGGGAGCCTGAAGGTGTCTGGCCCGCGGGAGGGACGAGGGGCGGGGCCGTGGCCCGACGCGGCTGCCCTGGGGCGCTGGAGCCTCCCGCCCCCGCGACCTAGCGCGGCGCCAGCCCTGCGGGAGAGCCCTGCGCCCAGGCGCGCTGCTTCCAAGGGCTCCTACAGGTGACGATCTGAGCCCTGGAGAAGATACAGTTACCTGAAATACCATGGAGGCCCGCGAACTGCTGCCGGGGCAATGGCATTCTAACAAGTGTGGTCCTAGGGTAATGCTAAAGAGCTTGGAAAGACACCAAAGGCGACTTTAAGGTAAAGTTAGACATTACTCCACAAGCCTCCCCTTCCGCCCTTGGAGTCTTCCAAGGACGCACAAACACCCCCTTAGTTGGCCAGAACGCTTCCTGTGGCCAACTAACGAGCTGCTTTCTCGCTCCTGAGGAACGTGAAACATCTAGTAGATTGATTTCTCTTTCACTGTATTAATAATTTGGGGTTTTTCCTGAATGGAAAAACCTAGGTTGGCCTAGATAACATTTCAAGAAAATTTATGATTCTACTCTAATAGCTCTGATCTCATGTTGGTAGACATAATGTTCCCTTGCATGTTGCTATTCAATAGTGAACTCAAACGTTCTCTTTTTTCAAAAACTTTATTAAAGAAAGAGGATCTGAAGTAACCCAAATGGGTTTAGAAAAACAATTCCACTTACTTTCTTCAAGCAAACCATTGAGAATAACATAATTAAATGTTTAGTAATAAAGTATTCTTTCTTTTCTTTTTGTTCTTCCTGGGCTGAGGCAAGAGGATGCAAATGGCAAGTTCAGCCCCAGCCTGAGAAACTTACAAACTTCACGACACCTTGTCTCAAAATTAAGAAAGGCTAGGGATGCAGCCGTTTTAGAGCCCTCCTGGATTTGACCACCAGTACTGCAAATAAATAAATACATTTATTTTAATTTTCTGGACTTGGCTATTACATGGATTGCATGAGGAAAGGCAAACTTTTTCTCTCAAACTCTCAACTGCCACAACAGTCTACACCCCTACATTGAGAAAAATTCTGAAAAAGGAGTTGGCCCACAAATGGAGAAAAGGAATATAACTATTGAGTTTCCCACCTTTTTTTTTTTTTTGTGATGTTCTTGAACTCAGGGCCTTCTCACTGAGCTGCATCTCCAATTTTTTTTTTTTTTTTTTATTTTAAGACAAGTTGTCACTAAGTTGTTATGTTGCCCAGGCTGGGGCTAAATTTGCCACTCGCTATCTTCCTGCCTCAGTCTCTCAAAGTGCTGGTGGGATTATAGGAATAGGCCCGCCACGCCTGGCTAATATTTGCTATTAAACATAGTTTATTGATAACTATATAGAAATTTCACTATAGGAAAAGCATGCAATTGTGTGTGTGTGTGTGTGTGTGTGTGTGCGCGCGCCCGTGCACGTGCATGCGTGCATGTGCTGGGGGTCTTAAGCCTAGGGCCTCACATATGCTAGCTAAGCTAATGCTATACAGTGCTACTGAGTTATACTCCCAGTTTGTGTGAAGCTTTGTATCATTTTTTTCTCATTTTGATTGTTTCACATTAATTTGATCTACATCACTAGCTAAAGATTTATGCTAAAAGTGCATCTTTTTATTCCAAGAATGAGCAGGATATCTGGCCAAATGATATTTTGCCAACTGTACTATTTCCCAATAAAGTGGAGAAATTCTTGGCAGAAATTCACCAAGGTGAACAGGCCTGACTGGGTGCAGCAGCCCATGCAGGGCCCTTCTTGCTCAGTCTCTTTGTTCCTTTTTGCCATTGACAAATGGCATACTCATTACTTCATTTTCCATGTCCATATAGAAAGCAGTAAAGCACCTGCACGCAACACAATCTGATTGAGATAATGCATGATGACGACAACATCAGAAAAAATGCGCCACCTCCCATGGTAAAAAGGCTCACATAGCATCTCTGGAAGGTGGAGGAGTTAGGGAGGTGAGTGCTGAGTCAGCCAGTGAGCCCACTAGTTGGCCTCATTTGCTCTGCTAATATTGCTGCTGTTTTCATTTAGATCCTTTATAATGAAAACACAGCTCATCCCTTTTTAAATGAAAGCACAACTGATATCCTGCTCCTTGTCTGATTTGTTAAGAGACTGTAATCTGTGAGTTATGGGGTGACTAGAAGGTGGGGGGCAATTAAAATTGACTTTGAGTTTGTTTCCAGTATGAAATGTCTTGAAAGACTGCAATATTTTCTAAATCAGTATACTTATTCTCCTGTCATGCTTTGAAAATTTATATACATATAGGTAAATAAGGGGTGATTGATTTATATGGATTATTTAATGGATAAACTAGAATTTGTTGGCACTAGATGAAGTTAGTTATGTTAGAGCGAGAAACTGTATATAAGGATTTGTTAAATTTTACTTTCTTAATGTGTAGATGGCACAGAGATCAACTAGGGAAGCAAAGCAGTAATCTAGGAGAGTGATGCTGGCAGGAGTCTGATCCAAGGATTTGGCAGCAGGAATGGCCTGAATTCAGGAACTATTTCTGAAGGAAAAAAATCAACACTCTGGTGAGCTCAGAGAATTGTGGAGTAGAGGCTATGAGGAGATAGAGGACTCGAAAAAGATGGAAACTTAGGCCTTAGTAGGCTGAGCAGTTGGTCACAACTGCAGCTCCTCTGCCAGACCTACTTCCCTTAACTATATGGAGCTCATGCTTCTATGTTCCCCCTCATCTTTCCTGAGGAGGCAGATGTTGGCTTATCATATAATGTTGCATAATCTAGCTTGATAAGATACAACTTACTTTTCTCTCATTTATTCACTCTACAGAGGCAATGCTTTACTTCTAAAAGTGTAAAGACAGGACATACTGTATACCTTCAAGGAACTTAAGAATCTGCTAGGGACAGACATAGGCAGGTAGGTAGGTAGATAGATAGATAGATAGATAGATAGATAGATAGATAGATAGATAAATAGATAAATAGATGTGATCAAATGTTGACCATGTCATGACAGGATCTGTATCACAGTATCTCAACCTCTGCACTATGGACATGTTGGACGAGATGATTCTTTGGTGTGGGGGAGTGTGACTGGGAGGGATGGAAGTTCCTGTGTATTGTACACTCTTTAACAGCATCCACAGATGCTACCTATTAAATGCCTACAGCACCCAACTACCAAATTAATGACCACCAAAACTCTCTCTAGACATAGCCAGTTGTCTGGTGGGGTCAGACGTACCCCTGGCCAAGAACACTCATCCCAATATAGTACTGTGAAGACAAAAATGAGGGAGTTACTCTACCTGGATGGAGTAAGAGGAGTTTCAGTTTGGGACATATTAAGAGATGAGGGGCAACCCTTAGGTGGACATTGAGAGCTGGGCCTTTCAGCCAGAAGGAACAGTGAAAAGGTAACATTTCATACATGGCATGTTAATCAGTGGCTTGACAAATTGGCCAATGGGGAAGGTCCAGTGATAAACAGACCAAGAAGTGCAAAAACCTTTTATATCACATAAAATAATTTAGAATTTATCTAATGGGCAAAAGAAGGCATAGATACATTTTAAGTAAAAGATAACATGATCACATTTGCAATTTAGATGAGTCATACTGTGAACAAGGTGGAAGATGAATTGAAATAGGAAGAGGATGGAGGCAAAGATGCCAGAGAGGAGACTCTTCTAGTGATGCATGTGAGAGTGCTGGCTTTTAGGCCTGTGGTCAAAGTGACTGGTGAATGTGGCTGATATTCAACTAAGGCTATACAATGGGGGCAACAGTTCAGTTACAGATGTAGAGTTAGCTAGCAGCATCTCTAGGGTACTTTCTGGAAATGTTCAGTGGATCATGAAATAGGTGTTTTAGCTAATTTTTTCTCATTGTTGATCCAAAATAACCTACACCCAAAGTTGAAGGTGGAAGGCTTTATTTTGGCTCATAGTTTGTAAAGGTTTCAGTTCATAGATGGCTGGCCCCAAGGTAGGGTGGCATGGCAAAAGGTGTCACAGAAGAGAAGCATTTAATGGTGGGTAGAAAACAAGGAAGTTGCAAAGCAGCAAGCTACTAGGTTGTACTTACACCCAGGGTAGGCTGACATTCAACCATGATTCAATCCAAGCATCACACATACTATATCCAGGTAAGCCCCTCCTATGACCACAGAGGCTTTGGAGGGACATCTGGACACAAACTGTAACATTATGTTTAACACCCCACACAATGGAGTTTCTATAGCCAAGATTCTGAATCTTTCACTAGCTACTGACTGAGGCTGCAGTATCCTCTGCTGGGTCCTCAAGAGAGAGAATACTATATGGGAAAGTGATTTTGGGTAGCTGTAAATCCAACACCCTTCAGTTTAGAATCTGTTTCTATCAGTGGGTTACTGTGTTTGTTCTTACCCATTTCAGTGTTCATGTGCAGGAAGGGGAGATAATGAGATTCTAGAGCAGTGTTTCCCACCTTTTCCAATTATGAAACATGGACAATGATACTATTAGAATGGCTTACAGGGGCAAACAGGACTTAACCCCATCTGCATAGAACTTGGTGAGAAAATTACACATGGGATGTGTGTGCATGACTGGTATTTGAACTTAGGGTCTCATTATATGCTAGGCAAGTACTCTACTACTGAGCTATACCCTAATTTTTATTTTTCATGGATAGCTATTGTTTTTACAGCATACTTTCCAAATTTAAAATAGAATCTTGTCAAGCATAAATATGTGAAATTACTACATGAAATTTTTAATCAAGGCTTTAATGATAAGCTGCTTATGTTTGTTACCATCATTAAGGAATGTGTTCACATAATCTAAAAAGTTTTAAAAAACATTTTTACAATCACTTAAAAATTTACGATGGCTGAAATTAATGAATCTATTTTCTCTTTCATCAATAAATGTACTTTCAATTAATTCTTGTAATAATTTCTTCAGTATTGCATCAGTGAACTTTACATCAACTGTGGCTCTGCAGTGGAAAAAACTTGAGTGTAGACTATTTATTCAAGGATTTGACCATGCGGGAGAGGCTAAAGGGTGATATGGGTGTCTCAGTTACTCTTCTCTTGTTTCTGAGACAAATACCCAACACCCAAAAGGAAGGAAGG